GCACTCGCAATGTAGTCGGAGGCCATGATCCGCACGCCCATGCAGTCGATCCCAATCGTCTCATTCGACGACGTCGTGTCCAGTGTGATCGACTGGTGGCCGTCTGGCGCCGTCGCCAGGCCTTTCGTCCGGAGGATCGACTCGACTTGCGCGTACGTGTCGTCCATTAGCGTGTGAAAGGCGGCTTCGCGCATCGCTTGATCGATCGGCATGGTCCGCAGACGGCGCTTGGTCGAGTCCATGGTCGGGAACCTCTAGTCCAAGTGCCGTGAGTCCCTACAATTCCTTTATCTCGTCGGGTACCATGAGGCGTGGCCGCTTTGACAGGATCTGCTGTAGCGAGCCCGCGAGTCGCAGTTGGTCTTCCAGCGCCCGCTTGAGCCGCGCGTTCTCGAGGGTTGCTTGGTGCGCGTACGCTTTCTGGGACCGCGCAACGGTCTCCCACTCGGACGACACGGTTTCGGTGGCCTTGGCGTCGCGCAACGCCTCGAGCTGCGCCGAGAGCGACTCGACTTGGTCACGGAGAAACTTGCGCTCGTCCTTCTGTCGTTGGCGGTACCGGTGCTGGCGGCTGTACGGCCCGACGCTCGCGTCCGCCTTGATCGTCTCGTCGGACGACGACGTCGACTCGGACGACACGAGCATCTTGTTGATGCTCGGCAAGTCGAAGAGAAAGTCGTCCATGTTTTCAATCGCGGGGGGCAAGGCAGGGGTCGCCTTTGTCGACAAGGACCGCGTGCGCATGGCGGTGCAATTGGCCGCAGGTTCGACACTGGGCTCCATACTCTCGTCCGGCGCGGTCGTTTTTTGGCGCTGTTTACTCTGAAACGAGAAAGTGCAAACTCGGCCAATTGGCTAAAATTACGTCGGATCTCTTGCTGCGTCATCGCACACAGGTCGTCGACGTGGCCGTGGTAAACTTGGGTGTCGACCAGACGGTTGGACCGGACGTCTGCGTCTGGAACTCCTTCGGGACCATCTGTGTCCTCCTCGTCTCGAAGCGATGGCGCCATTGCGGCGCGAGTGTCTCTACTACACGGAAATAATCCCGCTGGGAAAACCTTGAGCCACTACGTTCTTATCGGCCCCGGTCGCGACGTGGTGAGAAAGGCGAGCGAGCAACGCCGAGACCAAGGACATAACGTCACAGCTGCTGCGTGCGTTGTGCCATCACGTGTCACAGACGGCGACTAGGATCGGCAATCTTTCGCGCCCTCCTGCGTAGGGAGTCCACGACGTTGGCTACTACCATACAGGTAGTGAGCGCACAAGACGACATCGACTGGCGAAACCCCACCAAAACAAAGATTGCGGAAACACTTGCTTCACTTATTCGCCGAGAATATCCTCAATGAGGTGGGATGTTTGCGTTGTGTGGCTCAAAACATAATCGCAGACCATCATGGGCGGCTCGTCGGCCAACGGGCCGGTGCCGGGTGCTTGGATCGGCAGCTGCCCAAGCATGCACATTGTGCGACGACACTTGTCACCACCGAGGCGCTCCAGGAGGCAGCTACGACCACAGTACACATAAGACGAGACGAGGAGGAATGTCCAGCAGTATGTAATACAAGGCAGTGTGGTTGCCGATAAAAAGGCCAGGCGGTGGCGGGTGCAGCGGGTCTTCG